AACGTTACAGCGTATGTAATTTGTGTTCTGATGAGAAAAAGAAATTTTTCGTGCAGACGCCACTGTGTTTCTCTTATGTGCTCAAAGATACAGAGTTATAATGATAGTCAATCATATTTGGACAGAGATAAAGTTAATCCAAATATCGCACATTTCCGGCAACTGGTCTGTCGCAGCTGGTAAGAATATACATACAACTAAATACACGAGGGCTCTCCATATTGATAACACTAAAGCTTCTTTTCATGAAAAAAATGTTTGTTCTTTAATCAGCCCTCATCTGATAAAGGGCTAAACAATTATCATTTATCCACATGTCAATCATTACGTTTCCACGAGTGTCCACGGAATTTCTGTTACATGCCTGTAGTTATTGGCTTTAAAATAAGACACTGCTGCATGGTTGTATAGAGAACCACAAGGACCAAGATCTGTGCCACGGAAGCTCCATGAAACGCGAACGCCACAAACGATGCCTATCATGGACCTTAAAAGACGATCGACATAGACTCCGCTACGAACAGTTTCCGATCTTCTTTCCTTCGTACGCGCAGTAGAATGCAATCAGGAAATTCCTCATTACTGGCCTTATACGGTCACGATCATCAGTGTTTTAATTGTCGATAAGTGAGAAAGTCAGTGACAAGTTAGCGTTACGAGGATGATGCGATCAGCGTTCTTTCATATGCCAGGACATGCGAGTTATGAGTAGGTGTCACAACGGAAATTCATTGTAGACGTCGAGAGTAACAAAACAGGAAAGTGGTATGAGGTATGGTCTCGTGATATAAGTAGCCTCTGAACGTTCGGTGAGTAGGTCACCAAACGCGGACGTAAAAAACGCGACGAAGCAGAAAATAGCGCAATAAACTTACGTGAATGTGGTGCAACCGTACTGTAGAAGTAAGAATCGTTGTGGCTACGACACCAAGAACTCGGTATCATCAGGCTGCGTGCTGCAAATCAAGGAAAGACGAGGCAAAGGTCGAACGATTGAACCAATGGCTGTGGTCGGGAGGACACATCCGATCGTACGACCAGATCGATGGCGTAATGGCGCCTGTTTAGGCGGACGGTGAAAGGCGAAACTGTCCTCACAGCGAAAACGACGGGCGGAACGGAACAGTCATTGCAGACACGTCGACGCCGACGACATGGCGGCACAGCAAGTCATCGCCATCGTCGTCACGAGGAGCCCCGAGTGGCGGCGAGGCATGAGTGAGAAAATTTATTAATCACATGTTGTTTGATAAGAAGTTTCGTTCAGCGCCAGCGAATGGAGAAAGTGACAACGCCTGTTCATATACCAACTGTCTGGCTTTGTTGCAGGACGGTAGTCTAAAGATTATGGAGCGTCAGTAAATGCACAGCTGTTCCAGTGCGTGCCAAACGGTCTGGAAGGCGGTGATCAACGTACGTTGTCGCTGCTCAGCCTCCGTTGCTATCGTCACTGTACCTCAACGAGAGACGGCGCAGAAGCTTTGCAGCAGTATCCCCTTTAATAAACCGCTTGTGACCTCTCCCAACAACAGCTCTTTGGCAGAAGGACTCTTAAGCCCAGAAAATCCAACACATAGTGATCCATTGCAGTATCTGTACATTGTTTTCCGCTTTACATCAGGCATGGCTTGGCAATATAAAACCCATAAGTCTGATTGGGTCATGATGGGTTTCGAAGAACTTCTGTTTGCAACCCATTTACCTTAAAATAATCGCTCCTTCATTTATTTATCCTCATGCACGTATAATCATGTTTATTACCAATCGAAATCTAGAATATAATACCATATAGATATTCGAAGTAGAAAATAGAAAGAAATACTGCCGAAAGGTACGTAGCATAACAGCAATAACGTTGATGACTGATTCTCGCTCGCCGCCGGAA